CGATGTATTTAAAAATATAAATAAAATACCAAACTCATTTAATAAAATATAAAAATATTTTGAAACAATTAAAAAAGTTAACATCAGTTGCACCGATCGGGATTCGAACCACAACTTCTCGATCGAGCGTCATGCAGCTAACACACTAGGCCACCTCACTCATGCTAGTGGCGCTGGCAAAACTCAAATAGATTCACTGCTGCAGCGCCATCTACCAAAACTGAACGAAACTAACTGCTGATGTGATTCTAAGAATCTGCTAGAATAACCAAACTATTAAAAACGCATATTAAGTATGGTTAAAATTTCAATTTCGGTGTATTTAAAAATATAAATTAAATAGAAAACTCATTTATGAAAATATAAAAATATTTTGAAACAATTAAAAAAAATGAACATCAGTTGCATCGATCGGGATTCGAACCGCGACTTCTCGATCGAGAGTCATGCAGCTAATACACCAAGCCACCCCACTCCTGCAGGTGGCGCTGGCAAAACTCAAATAGATTCACTGCTGCTGCGCCATCTACCAAAACTAAACGAAACTAACAGCTGATGTTTTTCAACGAATGTTTCTAGAAGAAGTTTGAATGTATGTGTGAACACGCATACGATGCTGTTGTAGCTGCTGCACGTGCGTTTGTTAATTGGCCAAATATTTGATTATTTTTTATTAATTTTTGGCTGAACGGAATTTAATGAAACTTTCAGCATATGATCTACATATTATATTGAATATTTGAGAAATTAAAAAAAAGAAAAATCATTCACAATTAGCTATATTGGCATCTGATTTGAACTTGAATGTTTTTACTCGATAAAAACATAACGGGATGATTTATCGAATTTTAAAAGCAAACTCGACGTCCGCGCTGTATATACGGTCATATAAAAAAAAATTCAAGTCTCTAGCTCTTATATCTTCGGAAATCGACGCGTTCAAACATTAGAACAGACGGACAGACGGACAGGGCCAAATCGACTCAGCTCGTCGCCCTGATCAAGAATATATATACTTTGTGGGGTCATTTCAACAAAACCATTATACCCTGATTTCCCATTTTCAATGGGTTCAGGGTATAACAAGTAAGAAGACTCTAGTCGAGACTGCTCGACTAGGAGATACCCTGAACCCTCTAATCTGATATTCTAATCAGTCAGCACTTCTTCAGTAAGCAGCGACTGCGCTTGGGCTGCGCTGTAGTGTGGGCAACATTATAAGAATTTATTTGTTGAATAATTTAATTTCTAGACGTACAATCTTAATGAAACTTTCAGAGCGTAATCATATGGTAAAAATGTGTGCACATTCTAAAGCACACGTGTCTACTACTTGAAATACGCCTTTTACAAAGTTGATGGTGAGGGGGTGAATATAGGGGTGGGGGGTAAATTACAACAAAAATCGAAATTATATAAAATACATATAAGTCTACATTTAAAATTTTAGCTAGCTTTCGATAAGGTTTTTAATCGATAATAAAATATCGGGAGTAGTTATCGATATATAAAGAAAAACTTGATATGCGCGTGATATACACGGACCTAGGAAAAAAAATTTCAAGTCTCTAGCTCTTATATCTTCTGAGATCAACGCGTTCATACATACATACGGACGGACGGACGGACGGACAGACAGACGGACAGGGCCAAATCGACTTAGCTCGTCGCCCTGTTCAAGAATATACACTTGCTCGCAGAACTCTGCGTACACTTGCAAACAAACCCCTATTTCTAAGTTTACATGTATATTGTATTTAATATAGAAGACTTAATGCAATACTTCTTTTTGTATAACAATTTTCATTTATTTATTAACATAATTATGTTTTCATTTTATTATTAAAACTAAACCTAATATAGAAAAAAATTATAAACAAAACACATTACCAAAAAATGACACCTCAAAAGTCTGCGTACATTTTAAGTTTGCTGCGTACAGCGCTGGAATTTGTTAGTTGTTAGTATCTTGTAGGATACCCTTTTCGTTTTAACACCTCAGCCAGACGGCGAGGCATTGACTCAACCAGCTTTTTAGTGTCCTCTGCAGTTATTTTGCCCCATTCTTCCATCATGACCTCCTTCAGCATGTTCTTAGACCTTATGGTGTGCTGCCGAATCCTACGCTCGAGTAAGTCCCATAGATGCTCAATAGGATTGAGGTCTGGGGACTGGGGAGGCGTTCGGAGTTGGCTTTTTACATTGTAAAGTAGCCAGAGCTTTACATTGTGGGCTGTATGCTTCGGATCATTGTCCTGTTGGAAGCAAAATTCGTCCTCCAGGTGCAATTTCTGGGCACTCTGATGCAGATTCTCACTAAGAACTTTTATATAATCCTTCTGGTCCATTGTTGATTCTATAAAAGAGAGATTTCCCACGCCACTAGCCGCCATACATCCCCACACCATTACACCACCTCCACCATGCTTTACTGTAGGCAATAAATTTTCCTTATCCATGGCTGTTCCGCTTTTTCTCCATACTATTTTCTTTCCTTTTATGCCAAATAGGCAAAACTTGCTCTCATCTGAGAAAATTACCCTTTTCCAGAAGCTAGAAGGCTTGGAAATGTGCTCATTGGCGAAGTCCATTCGCTTTTTCCTGTTCACCTCTGATACATGTGGCTTCCTACGTGCAACGCGGCCATGATACCCCCGCTTTTTTCCAAGTGCGTCGAACGGTTTGCTCAGAAACAGTTTTGGAGAAACGTTCTGCAACTTCCAGACGTCCTTGGTGAGCAGATATCATTGGATTTTGAGGTACCAATTGAACAATACGTTTTTTCTCTCGTTCCGTGAGCAAGGGTGGGCGGCCTGAACGAGGCTTTGACAATATAGAGCCCGATGAGACATAATTGTCGTAGACTCTTTGGCACGAAGAATGAGTTCTGCCTACCAATAGACCAATTTCTCGGTAGGATTTGCCTTCTAACCTATATTTTAATATAAGCTTACGAACTTCTACCGATATTTCTTTCCCTTTTTGCTCCATGATGAAACGCGTGCCAAATTTCTTTTCAAAGTGATAGCAAATTACGCAAATGAGCGAAGAGGAATTAAAGAAACATGCAAAAACTAACGGTGATCGTGAATTCCAGCGCTGTACGCAGCAAACTTAAAATGTACGCAGACTTTTGAGGTGTCATTTTTTGGTAATGTGTTTTGTTTATAATTTTTTTCTATATTAGGTTTAGTTTTAATAATAAAATGAAAACATAATTATGTTAATAAATAAATGAAAATTGTTATACAAAAAGAAGTATTGCATTAAGTCTTCTATATTAAATACAATATACATGTAAACTTAGAAATAGGGGTTTGTTTGCAAGTGTACGCAGAGTTCTGCGAGCAAGTGTATATACTTTGTGGGGTCTGCCACGCCTCCTTCTGCCTGTTACATACTTTTAACAAAACCATTATACCCTGATTTCCCATTTTCAATGGGTTCAGGGTATAAAAAGAAAAAGGAAGGTATTAAAAGAAGTTGCACGAAAAGTTAATACAAAGAATAAGACATAATAAAAAGAAAAGAATAGGGGAATAGCCAAAATAGAGTATAGGATAGAATTTAGAAATCACTAAACAACATTGGCAACGAAAATGTATACCAATGATTATGCCTGGGCATTGTGAGTGATTTCCCTAAGATAAGCTAGAAGTAAACTTTTTATTTTAGAAAGAGAGAGCTCTATGGAAAAAACGTGATAATATTTATTAAAATCAACACAAAGAACATGAAACGCACTGTGCAAAGAATAATCCCTAGTACACACAGGTAAATGAAACGGACGATAATGTCTAGTTGCTCGGGACGGAACCGAATAATTTAGACGACCCAACAAAGAGGACGATGGAAGATCAACAAGCTGGAGCCTACTATGATAAGACGATAATCGTAAATTACTGTCCCATCTAAGGTCTCTTAAGGCAAAGAGAAGAAACTGTTTTTGAACCGATTCGATACGATCCTGATACAGTTTATGCTGCGGAGACCATACGACAGAGCAATACTCTAAGATAGGACGCACAAGCGAAGTGAATAAGCGCTTGGTAGTAAATAGATCTTTAAACTCCTTAGACCAACGTTTAATAAAGCCAAGCACACTTTTGGCCCCATTAATGATGGTAGAAATATGAAGATTAAAGTCAAGTTTACAGTCAAAAAACACACCAAGATCTTTGACTGTAAAGATGCGTTCTAAGGAAATATTGCTAATTTTATAATCAACAATTAGAGGAACGGTACGAATGAAGGTCATTGTCATACAATTTAAGCGATTTAAGTCCAGCTGGTTTGCCACACACCAAAGTTGAAATGCATTTACGTCATCTTGAAGGTGATGATGTCCATTTGCACTGGAATATGGATGGCAAAGTTTTACATCATCAGCATACATAAATATAGTAGAATACGAGATACAACTAGGAAGGTCATTTATAAAAAGGGAAAAAAGCAATGGACCCAAATGGCTACCCTGAGGTACACCAGACGAAACAAAGATAAGTTTAGACATAGCTGTTCTCAGAAATACTCTTTAGGTTCTACCCATTAAATAGGATGAAATCCAAGTCTAGGTGAAAATCCTAAGCGTTCAAGCTTAAGAATTAGTAAGTGATGATGTACTGAGTCAAATGCTTTACTGAAGTCCGTATAAATAACATCAGTTTGCATTTTTTTAGAGAAACTATCATTAATAAGCGAAGTAAACTCAAGTAAATTAGAGGACGTGGATCGATTTTGAACAAAACCATGTTGAGATGGTTGAATAATCGATTTTCAAAAATGCTGCAAGGCCGATGTTATGATTTTAGGATATCCGCTTATATCATGTGATAAACAATATGTACAATAACGTAAATAATTCACGAATAGGTAATGTTTATGGTAAAATTCTAATGATTACACAAGCGAAACATTTTTGTTTTGGTAAGTGAGCGACTGGAGTGCTGAGTCTATTAAATAAGACTTTCCCTTGAGGAATGGAACTAAAGTTTACTTACATTTTTAATCCTCGAAGTATCTGATATTTTAATTATTTTTTTTTATTCCGTGCAGCTAGAAAAGTTCTGAAATCACTACTCCCAGTGGCTTTGTATGGTAGAGTCGCAGCAGGAACGTGATAATGAACAGGATTACATAGAAAATAATGATAATGATAATGACTTGAACACGTTTATGCGATCAGAGTACTTACAAAATTGCGATCTCTACAACAGCTCGAATATCAACGAGTACGACATCGATAGTAACAGCATCAATAGCAACCATTTAGAAGGTTCCTTAAATTCAATTTATAGCAGGCCTGTGAGCACGTAAGTAATCAAATTAGATACTTTGTTTGCTAAGTAGATAATACTTTTTCTCATACAGATTTCGTCTTAGCCAGGATCTGGACGATATGTATAATATAACTTCCAGCTCCAAATCTCAAAGTTTCAATCAGGGCTGTAATGATAACATTTATATGTTTAAGTCGAACAAGTCATTAGATGCTGACGGCTTGAATGATAAGCTTATATAGTAACAAGTAAGAAGGCTCTAGTCGAGACTGCTCGACTACGAGATCCCCTGAACCCTTGGAGTAATAGCTATTTCAATCATTTTTCGCGTCTTTCAGCTTACACAAGAAACACGCACACACACACACACACACACACTCACACACACATGCACGCACACACAGGCAAACACACACACACACACACAAGCATAAACACGCATGGGCGGCAGTGATCGCTTACTATGAGAAATTAATTGTTTAATAACTTTTTTTGTGGACGTACGATCTTCATGAAACTTTCAGATTATGATTATAACACAAATATGCATGTAATTGCCAAAGCACAAGTCTCTAGTATTTGAAATACGTTTTTTACAAAAGTGAGGGTGAGGGGGTGAATCTAGGGGTGGGGGGTAAATTTTAACAAAAACCGAAATTGTATAAATTGCATATAAAAATACATTAAAAATTTGGTATTCGATAAGGTTTTTTATCGATAAAAAAAAAGATCGGGATGAGTTATCGATTTTTAATGATAAACTTGATATGCGCGCTGTAATTACGGACATTTAAAAAAAAATTTGAAGTCTCTAGCTCTTATATCTTCGGAAATCGACGCGTTCAAACATACGGACAGACGGACAGACAGACAGACGGACAGGGCCAAATCGACTCAGCTCGTCGCCCTGATCAAGAATATATATACTTTGTGGGGTCTGCCACGCCTCCTTCTGCCTGTTACATACATTTCAACAAAACCATTATACCCTGATTTCCCATTTTCAATGGGTTCAGGGTATAAAAAATAAGACTATTCACAGCGTTGAGTATGTAAACTTCGTAATTACAAAAATGTTATAATTTTACAGCGTCTATATGCAGATGTTATATGTACATATGTACTATGTCTACATATGTTAACATACTTGCTGTCATACATATAAATTATTCACTTAGAGCGTTTTAATCAAATGTGTTTAGTATTTATTTTTAAATGATATATTATTTTTATTGTGATTTGTGATTAAACGTTTCTAGTCCTAGCATTCAACCAAAAATTCCATTGAAAAACTAGAAAGTTATGTGAAGTCGTTGCTTGCAAAATATGCGGCCCCTCAAAGTGGAATTATGGAGTTATGGGGGAGGACCAAAGACATCTGGTAAGCGATTCCTTCCTCAAATAAGAGATCTAAATATTGCAGTAAGAAAACAAGGCATATCTCTTAAGCAAACATAGAGTAGAGGCGAAAATATAAACCATTAAATGTTGAGTCCGTGTTACTGTTTTCTCGTCAGTGTAATTCAAAATGTGCAAAGAAAACAAATAAGAAAACTCTAGTCGAGAGTGCTCGACTAGATACTACCATGAACCACTGACCAAAGAACACATAGATGAGACATGTAGAACAAACTTTTTCACCACCGAAAAAATGTGCATTAGGTACTACTCAACTTCGTATTTGCTCGGCTCCGTCTCTTGAGGCTCGAGCAGTAAAAATACAACACTACAAAGTCAGTTCGTTGCGAGCGCCAGGGTGACCGAATATGGTATTTTAAATACTTTTTGGTATTTTATCAGCTCCGATTTAGCTCAAAAGTATTTTAATGGTATATAGGTATTTAGTAGCATTTTTCTTCGATTTTATGGTATTATATGGTATTTTCGGTTTGGTCACTCTTTAAGTCTTAATGAATCGAATGCTTAATGCTTAAGACTTGCTTAATTTTAAAACAAATAAATAGAAAACATGAGCAATAGGCAAAAATATAGAGCTGAGTGGGAGACTATGCCGGAAAATGAAAAATGGCTGGGAAGGAGCGCTAATAATATGGATGCGCACTGCAAAGCGTGCCAGACTAATATTTTGAGTAGGCTGGCGTCACTTAGGCAGCATGCGGCTACACAAAAACAAAGATTTAATAATTTTGCCCGTTTCTAATCCGTCGTGTGAACGCATATTCTCTCAAATTAATTTAATCAAAACGAAAAATCGAAACCGCTTTAAGAATGTAAATATATCACATATATTACATGTACAATAATCATTGCGCGAAAATGGGTGCAATAATTTTAAGCCTAGTGAACAAGTGTTATGTAAAGATTTTAACAAATTGAATTTAAGCTGCTCTGACGAAGAAGGCTAGTAAATATAATTAAATGATCTTAAAAGAAACTAGCAAGACTGAACAAAGAAGTTCCTTTATTATTTTATTTTAAGAAAATGTTACAAAATGAATTTTAAGCATTTAATTAATTTTAAGACTTTAAATATATATTGGAATATGGAATTGAATACGAATGCATATTGTTCTAGTTTTATGTTGGACTAAAATATTATTAATTTTTTAAAATGAAATAAACAACAAACATTTTTTGCAATGGGAAAACCCTTATTTTTTCTATATATAATAAGTCAGTTATTCTTTTATTATAATTTGAATTTCCAGACGATTTATTTGTTATGGTATTTATAGTGGTATTTTGTAAAATATGAAATAGTATTTTATAGTATATTTTTGAGACCAAATTGGTATTTTTCGTTTGGTCCGGCGCGGTCACCCTGGCGAGCGCTCAAACGAAATGGTCCCATTCTTATATGAAGCAAGGCTATGCGCTATTTGTCCTACTCTCTCTCTCTCTCTCTCTCTCACTCCATCTCTCTCTTTGGTCTCGCAAATCACCGAAAGCAGCAGCACACAAAAATTGAATTTTGTTCGCGATGATCCCAGCTCTTTCCCTTTGAAGTAAAAGGTATACCTAAATCATAAAAACGTTTGTCACGCTCATGCAAACAAAATGTAAGCGTTTGTATGGTTGTATGGTCGTGGGAAGGGTATGAAAGCGTTGATACTCATGAAAATGTTTTCGCGACGAGCATGCACACACACATTTACAGTATGGGCTTTAGTGTGCGTGCGTCGCGAAACTCAATTCTTTCTTAATATGTTCATCAATCGCCCGTTGCAGTCCCGTAATGTGTACTGGTTAGTGTTTGAACACTTTTAGACCTAGAGATTTCAGATTTACTGTGTATGATTACGCTCTGAAAGTTTCAATAAGATTGTATGTCTACAAAAGAAATTCGCTGCTAACTGCGCAGTCAGCAGATCGCGTTGTAAACACGTGCGTGTGTATGCATGTGTGCATAAAAGACGTGCAGAATCAGTCAAATATCAGTTTATAGGATTCAGGGTATCTCCCAGTCGTGCAGTCACGACTGGAGCCTTCTTACTTGTTCTTATTCGAATAATTTTATAAGTTTAAATTTGTTTCTTCTTAAATAGCTCTCAAATACATATACGCAAATACAATATATATGTAAGTCTGCACGCATGATGCATCAAGCATTCCAGCCTTATACAAGTTAACAACAAATATATTTTTCAAGTTAAAAACAAAAATATTCTGCATTGCAACAAAACCCAATGGGAATTGTTGCAACACAAATAAAACGTAACAAGCTGATCAGACCAATAAGCCAAAACTGCTGACACCATGTCTAGCGGACTTCCTGCACACGCCAACCAGAGCTCCAGCAATTCCAAGAAGAATTGCACAACGGTTCAACAACACCACGAGCGACGCCGCTGCCAACGTCGTCGACTGAACCACAGCTTAGCTAGGGATAGAATTGATTTAAGTAATTTAGTTGCAAATTTGTTCTTCAATAAAGCGGACTGCATTTAAACAGCGAAATATCAAAACATCTTATTTTTTCCCGTTTTAATAAAGAAAGAACTTAACTGGCGCCCGAGCAGGGACCGGCTTCGCGCGCAATACAGCAAAACGTTTAGTACGTGCGCGATACTGCAAGTTAAAAGCAGAGTCGGTTCAAATAAAACGAAAATTCGATCGCGTTACAACACAGCAAAACGCCTGTACGAGCGCGACCGAAAATCACCAAAGCAACTCACGTCGCGTAACTTCGACGTTCGGTGAAATTCGTTAAAGGTAGTCTGGAACGTAATAGTTCGATTGCCCATCGGTGGACGGTAATCCTGTACGGCCCGCCCACAGGATACTTCAACGGAGTCTGGTCGCAGGATCCCCAGTAGGTACAACCAAAAAGGATGAAATCCGGATCAGCAGTGAAGACCGCCACATCATCATTATTGTAAGTTAGAAACATAAGAACACGAAACAAGAAACTAACAAAACTAAAACTAAAACAAATAAGTGTAATAAAATATAAGAAAAGTTTTTGAGAAAAATAAAAATTAAATAAGTGTAATAAAATATAAGAAAAATTTTTGAGAGAAATAAAAATCAAACAAGTTTAAGAAAATTTAAGGAAAATTTTTAGAAAAATAAAGAGAAAAATAAAATATTAAAAAAAAAAAAAACACAAAAAATAAAAAAGCGTAAAGCGATCAAATTCAAAGTGACTACAATAGTAGTATAAAATAACCCAACTTTGCGATTCCCAAGGGATCCTCCAAAGTAGAAGGGAAAAACCAGCCACTGGTCTTAATACAAAATAAAAATAAAAGCTAAATTTAAATTTAAAAAAAAAAAAAAAAAAAAAAAAAAAAATTTTTTATATCAGAAATTTCTTTATATTAAATTAAGTTGTACTAATGATAATCATAAACTAACACTAACTAACTAACTAAATTCAATCAAAAATCCACCTGTAAACATAAAACAATAGATCAAAGTCACAGTTGATAACGTATGGCTAACGAGAATAATTTGATTAGGCCCCCAGTGTTAGTCGAACAACCCCAAGTAGGTGCACACATTATCAATAGGCAGCAACAACGACATATAGACCGTCAGAACGAACACTTGCAGAACAGAGGCATGGCGAATAACGCAGAACAGTTGATTGCAGCCACTGTCGCTCAAATTTTGACAGAACAACTTCCGACGCTAGTGAGACAAATAGTTAACCCTTCTAGAGAATTCAATGACGTGGACGATCAGACCATAAACGACAATCAAAATTTGAACGACCTTAACAGAGTACCAGACATTGTCAAAAGTCTTAGGGAATTTTCCGGCAACAAAATCGAATTTAGCT